ACAATATGCTTAGACGTGTCTGCCTCTGCAAGATAGTGCTTGGAGGTTAGTGTGAAAAGCATGATTAAGAGACTAATACAAGTGAGCCACCTCAAACTTGTAAGACTTATGGCTGTAATATTTTTATGTCAGAATTTTTAAGAGAGTGGGGTTCAAAATTTAGCTCATTATGCCAGCACATCTTGAATCACAGCACAAAATTCCTTGGTAGTGTTCCTGCGAGTCCTGTTTGCAGAGGAAGGGAATTCAGTTCATCAACATCATTTGGGCATTTTCCTTGGAAGCTTGCCACCCAGGTAATATGACTCAGTTTGCAGTTTCCAAGTGGTGTTTGGATGGGTGTGCTCATGCTGAATCACAGGGAAATGCTGGAGACAAAAGGAAGGAGGATGGGGGAAGAAAAGCAAAAATGAGGTAGTGTCAGATTTTGATGGGCTTGGGGCTGTATGGAGGGGTGCTTCTAAAGTCCTTAATTAAAAGGTAAACCAGTCAAAGTAGTAGCTAAGAGAAAGACTGTTCCTGCTTAAAAAGAACCTTGGGAATAGTAGGCAGAGATGGTCTTCATGGAAGCAGTTCTACGGCTGGGCTGGATCTCAGTGAAGAGCAAAGGTTTCTGGCCAAGTTCTCTCACTTTCAGCTCCTTTTGCCAACCTGGCAGCTGTGACTCCCAGCTGCAATCTGTAGGCAGACACCTCGTGGTGTTCCTTTGGGTGCTGTGGTGGTGGTCCAGCCCGTGAGGCTGATGGCAGAGAGCTGCGCTAACAGGGTGTGCTAGCCAGGGATCTATGTCCCTCCATGGAGAGGGGGCTGCTTGGATGAGATGTTTTGTGCTTGTTATTCTTTCTTCTACTAACGCATTTATGCTTCAGAATGATCTTCCTTCTCTCCGCCAGGCTCTGAACTGCAGTAATCTCACACATTAGTGAAAGAATAAACTTTTTGCTTAGAATAATTGCATTCTGCATCAGAATCTATTTTTTTCTTTTAAGTTGTAATTTTGTATCATAGAAAACTTTAATTCTCCTCTGCAAGCTATATATAAAATATAACAGATAGGCAAAAATGTATTATTAAAGCTATCTATTTTTCCTTGGCATTCCTGTAATTTAATAAACTGCTTGAGCTCCATTACTGTGGTTTATGACATCACAAGAATAAAACCTATCCTTTGATTAATAGCTACCCAATCAATCCCCCTCTCCACACACGTTAAGTATAATGGACTTAGAAAATGAGCTTGCTTGGTTCCCAAAAAATTTGGTTTGGATAGCTGAACTAAATGACTTTGGGAAAAAATCTGCAGTGGTAGCAGCACAAGCAGTGTGAGACTCTTAGAGGGGAGGGAGAGCAGCACTGCTCTGTGCTCACAGATGGAGGTGGTGCTGTCTCCAAAGCCCAGGTGACTGCAACTCCGAGAAGGCTGTTGCATCCTCCAGTTTATCCTTTCTTTACTGGAGCAGCAAGGGTAGGATTTTCACCGTATTGGGGGGAAGGGAGGTGTCTTTAGAAAGATTTATGATTATTTGGTGCCCAGTTCTGTAGATCTGATTAGCAGGACAATATCAAGGAATATTTGAAAGGGGGAAAGACTGTGCCTGAAGCCAGTAACTGCAATGGCTTTCGGTCCCGTTCTAGCAGATAACAAACACAGCAGTTCTAGAGAATTTGATAATCTGAGTAGTTTTGAATGCTAAAAATTGGCAGTTCTTACATGTAAACAAATACTGCCATTGTACAGAGCTTCTTTAAGGTAATATCAGTTGCAAGAAAACAAATTTCTTCTTCCCTTACAGTGAAGGAAGATGACCTAGGATAAGAGGTAAATTGCGTTAGTAAAGAAAGATGACCTAGGATAAGAAGTGAATTGTGTTTTGAGATGTACGATTATGGGGACAGGCAAGTTTTTAAAGTCCCTGGTACAAAGTTTCTGTTTTTACTGTGATTCATCTGTAAGGAATTGGGATCAATAGAACTTGAACCTTGATTTTTGAAGGAAGTCAGGTAACCTTAGACTACTTGAAAACACTTCTGAGGAGAAACAGGTTGAAGAAAGGGGAAAGAAAGGGAAATATCAGCATGCTCAGCTGGTTCTTGGGTTTCTGACTCATATAGGCTTTATCAGTCTTGAAACCTATATATATATATTTAAATGGCAATATTGATCTATGTACAGGGATTCTCTAAAAGCCTGTGTGATGCTTTTGCTGGGGGGTTGGATCCAAAGTAGTCAGGCAGTTTCTGATGGTCTAGGCAGGAGCTTGGAATGATGGTGGCATATGTGTGCTCAGTGTGCTTTCAGACTTTTTAACACTCTGTGAAGTTCTAACTGAATCAGGGATGCAGTTGGGTTGATTCCACCATTGGTGTGCTAGCCCTGGTGATTCCACCCTGGTTGTGTCACGGTGTGAGATTCTCAGAAACGGAACAGCAGAAAGGAGTAAACTCAGCATCTGTAACTGGTTTTGGTATTGCCTGAGAAGGGTCTCGTGTGCAGTCAGGCACCGGCCACAACAGGCCTGCTACATCCCTTCTCTTCAGACCTTTAAAAGTACTGAACAAATCTGAAACTTCTGCAGGTAGGTAGAATAGGGCCACTGAGAATGTGACTTGCAGTAAATCCTTAAACGGTGAGGAGTCAACAAGATTAAAATGAAGTTGACCCTTTTTAAGAAGGGTTGCTCTTCTGAGACTATTGTGTTAAATACATGCACGAAGGGCACAGGAGGTTCGTAGCAATACCATGTCGAGGGTGACCTTTATCCCCAGCGAGCTGTCTCTGTGGCACTGACTGTTACCTGTAGTACTTTCACTGTAAGCGGCATGTCGTGGCCCTCCGAGGATCTTTGAACAAATCCCTGGAGCCAAAGCAGTGCGGTTTGCACAGATGTGGGTTATTCAGTGAGCTGAATGCATAAGGAGAGGTAAGCGTTGTCAGGCACTGATATGGCTTGCTAGAGCAAACGACTTGTACGCAACCTTGTGCTCATGAGACCTAGATTCACTGATGAGAGCACAAACTCTGCAAGTCAAACACCTTTACGTTTGAGATTCCCCCCAGGGGAGGTTGGGAGCAGTGATACCTCTCCACCAGGGCATGGTGCAGCAGCCTGAGCCTTGAACACAGGAGCTAGGGGCCAGGAAATGCGATATCCTACTCCCCTCACAGTCAGAACCATTTTATATGGTGGAGGGGGGTAGGAAATTTGGTATTTCGTGGTATTTCCAGCTGTTGAAGCGTCTCTGTGCCCTTTCCTGGTGAGAAAAGAGCCATTACTACCCCTGTAGAGAGGGGCAAATCAAGGTGCTGGGGACAAAGTCCTACTGTGGTCGTGCTGTGACTGTGCAGAAGACAAGAGTCTTGAAACCGACTTGGCATGCTAACATCTGAACCGTTCCGTTCTTCCCTTTTTCTGTCTCCCTCCTTGCTCATATTGACCACTTGTGAGCTATGGAGCTCTCTAGAAAATAACCAGCTGTTTCGTTAAGTGAATTTGGTCTATCCTTCAAGTTGACAGATGATTTTTATTATGTACTATTACTTAATGAACTCTTTTGTGGCAAATGTAATTCAATACAGATTCTAATTCCCAGTTTGTCATCAGTCCTTTTGTAAAGGAGGAAAAATGGGAAAGGACTTGATTCCTTTATCTTGTTATGCTAATTGCATTAGGAATATTGGAGAAAACAGCCAGTGGATTTAACAGCAGAAAAATCCAAGCTTGTATTCTGCTGAAAGAAAATGGGAATTTACTGGGGCAGAACACAGCAGACTTCAGCCAAAGCGAATTCCGATCCAAGTTTTAGATTTTGAAAAACAGAAGTAAAAAAAATCATACTCTGTAAAACTCTTTTTGGAAAGGAAGCCTGTGGCAGACAAAATAGATGATGCATGGAGAGAGTTGTGAGAACAACTTGGAAAAATTCGTTACTTGCTAACTACAGAGGTAAGAATTTGGAGCTGCGTGCAACATCAAATAAGAGTGGGATGTGCTGGGAGGGAATGGCAATAAAGGTCAAGCCAGCGGAAAAGTGTACGTGAATTTTGTGCCCTCTAGAGACTGACTTGTGCTCTTGAGAATATTTGACTTTGCCTGCTGTTAGTGCCCTATAACTGGATGAAACTTTGCATCCCTCATTTCTCAGATTTCAGCTTTTTAAATTGTAAAATGGAGACAACTTCCCTGTTCCCGCCTCTGAGGGATTTGGGACAAGTGTGTTGTGAAACGGAACTGTGGAACCGAGCATGAGCAAAAAGCTCCTGAGAACTGGAATACTCATGTAGCTATAAATGGGGCTCGCAGCCACGTATTGAATAATGGCTAAGAAAGGAAATATTGACAAGCGTCTTCATTAGGTACCTTTGATCCTGTGCTAAAAACAGGACGAGGATTGTGTGTAGAAAAAAACATGCAGCCTTGCCTTAGTGCACTGGTCGTATTGACTGTGGTTATAGCTGTGGTTTGGGTCACTTGTGTTTAATGAGCCTATGGCCTCATTTGTCGCAGGACCCTGGAGGTAGCTCATTTTGTGCATCTTGGCTAATTTTCAGTCTGCCGAAGGATCACACAGGTGTTTCTGTACCAAACTGTGGTACAACAAATAATATATTTGGTTGAGGACTTGCCATTAACAAATTTGTGTTAATCTCACTTTGAATAGATGACAAAAATTGCCATCTCTGAGACTTGTGGGCTTCTTTTGTCGACCATCTTTATTGTACCAACATTGAAATTTAAGCAGCTCAGACATCTGTCATAACTCAAACATTTTTATTATGTCTTCATCTTCCAAAAGCAAAAAAGTCCCTTTTTCTGTCATCCTAAAGAAAATTATTTCTGATGCGTTGTCACATAGCTGTTTCTTACCACAAAAGCCACATGAGATTATTCTAGATAGAAATCTTCACTTTGGGGAAACCTGAAATCCTTACAGGATCCTTGGACTTCTAATAGATACTAAATTTTTACATGTAAATATCAGGATAGGAGAAGTGGGTTCACTTAAAAGTTTATATAGTTCCCACTGGAAGAGTAGTTGGGGTTGGTCCTCATGACTCCGCCGGCTGTAGAACTAAACCTAAAACAAAAAACAGAATTTGGTCTAGTATCAGGAGATTACATCTAACCTCCACATTATTTTCTTTATTTAATGGAGCTTTCAGAAGCATTTATCTGCCTTTTTTATTTTTTTTTAATTTTTTTCAGACTTGTAACACAGTTTCTGGAAAGATGATATAGGGAAAGTATATGCTATTGTTGTCTATCCTATAGGTAATGAAAGATGATATACAAAACTTATCCAGAACGATTGTTACCAGACCCTTGGAATAAGCTGATTTTTATCTACAGTTGTTACAGAATCATATTAAGATGAATCCTTTCATGACATTCTGACAGTGTCAAAATGCTTTGGTTTCAATCATGCTGAAACATTTGCCTTTTGCTAGCTTAAGAAATGTTTATTCTTTAGCCATGATGTTTATTAGAAGCTCTAGGAGTGAACTTACAGTGTAGTGTTTGGCTTCATTCACCTAAAATCAATTACTTTGTTCTTGTATCAAAATTTTCTGGGAATTCATGCCATGTAGTAACTTCTGTCTTTTGTTCTGACGTGGAATTTGGTGAGAATGGAACTGGGAAACCCAGTTGCTGATTACATTGTGGGCTCTAAAGGTTTGCAGCAACTTGCAAAAGGATGCAAAACTAGAATGCGAATCTGCATGGCCATTACCTGTAGGAAGGAGAAAATGGATACAGGGTCCCATCGCCTGCTGTTGGCGGATCCTGGATGTTGGTGGGTAGTTTAGGCAGGGTCCTCTGCTGGTACGGAAAATCCGGCTGAACAACGGGGATGTAGTTCAACAGAGGTGGGTAAGGTGACTGGAAAATGTGCTGTGGGTTATATGGAGCTACCTGGGGAGGAGAAGGAAACAGTGCACAAGAATAAATGGGACAATAATGATGACAAGCAGTGACCCTCAAAATATAAACTGGAGTTGACCGAAGTATTATTGTTGTATTTAAGATTTTTTTCCCCCACTTCTGGTATCTCCTTTAACCTGCTGTTCTTTTCAGTGCAGAGACTTCTGTTGCCATTCAATTTGGACTCTGATTGCTTCTCTTTAGGAGGCATCTTTCAAAGAAGTCTCTGGAGCAAAAGCTGGGGTGGCTATGCAATAGGTACAGCCGTGGGAATTTGCCCCTGTAAGTTCCCCTAGCCTTATTGATACTAGAAAAGGTTGTGTTCATTTTTATACAAATACAGACTTTAATGAACAAATAAATGCAGTCTAAATAGAGGGGACAGATAATTTTATATGTAACTGAAGTATATGCAGTAGATGTTTTTAGAGGTTTAGGGCCATCTCTTGAGCTATTTGGAGCAAATACTGCTCCAAACAAACCTACCCCCAGCTTGGCATCTTTTTCCCCAAATATATTCTCTTGACGGCACCAGTGTCAGTCTTGGCACATGACAAACACTTCTGACTAATCTATTGTGCTTAGCATCTGTATTCAGTGAATTAAAGTGTATTTGTAACCAGGTCAACACACCTGTCTCGAATAACATCCAAAGGAAGGGTGCAGAGCTTGCTGATAAGGGAACCGTGCTCGCTGATATGGACCCTGTTAAGCATATGTAAGACAGGATTTTTAAAAACAGCTTGAGTTGATTCATTAATTATTAAGTATTTTCATATAAGATTATAGGGGAACGTTATGTTCAAAGAAACCAGGTTGAAGTAAATGCGTTTTTAACCTTTAGCAAAAGTCTTCTCTTTGTCTTCCCAAGTCTGAGACCTCCAGAATAGGTGTCAGCCTTCTAACCTGTACCTTCTGTTCTGCCTGGGGAAGAGCTTGCTTCCCTCTTGACTGCTGGGAGGTGGAAGGACGATGTGCTTGTCCTATGCTAAATAGCTTTTTGCTAAGTAATCATTGACTTAATGAAAAATGAAAATTCTTGGGCTGTAAATCCTGCAAGGGAGCTTGGTGTGGCACAGGAGGTGTGCCCATAGTGGTCTCCTGCTCTCTCTCCTTTCTAACAGGCTGTTGGGAAGTTTTGACAACATCTAAGATGAGCTGAGTTCTGTTAGAGAATGTAGCTTTGTATTTTTATTTTTATTTTCCTTTTTCCCCACAGTGGAATCAAAGGGAAATCAAAGGGTGAGAATAGTCCATAGAAAGGCATGGATGCATGGGATTCTCAGTATTCTTTTATTTCTTTTGACTTAAGCATTTGCTGCTTTAATAACCTTAGTTGGCTTTTTTACTTGGATATGAGGTCCTGTTTCACTAGGTTCAGAAGCCAGTATCCAAGTCTGTAAACAGAATAACCACACAAAATATCCCCAATGAATTGTTAGGTCAAAATATTTGTAATTACATGATAACTATTTGTAAATGCAAGCTAAAAATAGAAAGTAATGAATGCTAAAAGGCCAACATTCAGTATAAGTGTCAATAAAACATCATCCATTGATCACAAATTTCCCAGAGGACTGTAGTACATACGCTGATAATGCTTTGTTTGTGACCTAATGCCACTTTGGTGTAATTATTCATTGTGGGATAGCAGTCTGGTTTCTTTTAGGCTCTAACCTACAAATCAGAAAGCTCTTTTCAGAGCAATGCTAGCTAGTGCCCTGAGCTTGTCAGTATAAACCTGGGGATGTAATCTCAGAGTCTAGATTTAGTTTATTTTACCTGAAACTGAGGAAAGTTCGAGGGGTTTGGAAAGACGGGGAGTGGAGGGAAGCTCAGACTTGGCCACACCAGCTGATTTAATGCCGTGGTGGTTGTAGTAGTCGAAAAGCGTGGAGTAAAAGTATTGGCACTATATTTAACAATTTTTTTATCCGGTGTTGCTGTAGTTACTGTAAAACAAAACAAGGGTAAAGATGAGTTAGCATTCTCTCAACATAAATGTGTGGAACACTTGCAATTAAAGGGACGTGCTTTACCTGTAAGCAAAATGCTAAGGTACCAGTTGCTTTTGCAGGCTATACTTCTGGAGCACAGAGACCCAAATTTAGCAGTTAGCAGTTCAAATTCACTTGTGGGGCTGTTTAACTGACCCACAGGACCCAGAGAGAATTTAATTGCCTGAGCTGTAAGCACGAATGAAATGGGGCAAAAGGTTCTTACTCTATTCCTACAGTGTTCAAAACTCTCAGACTAGGAAATTACGCCAGAAGAAGCTGATTGTTTGAGGCCTCCAGACTGTGGTCCATCTAGGCCAGAAATGTAAACAGCAGATTTGGACGTCCAGCATTATTTTGGTTTGTTCTTAAGTTACTCTGGATCTCTTAAATATTTCTTTGGAAACCCAACAAATCATGACAATTAAACAAACAACAACAACCAGCAACAAAATACCCAACAGCATTCCCTCCCCCCTCACCTGGGGAAAAAAAATAGTTTATAGAAAAGATTGACCAAATATATAAATCTCTGTGGTCACAACCTTCCTGTATTTCTCATTTATTGATGTGAGAAAGACATTGGATAGGTGCTGGTAAGGTGGGAGAGCAATATGAGCATCTAGTAGGAACTGAGACTTTGTGAATGCAAAGGCCATCTGTTTCCCAACAGCTTCTAGTTCGTTTTAATTTTCCTAAGGCTCCCAGATGCTGTTTAAGCACCATGGCCAGATCCATACCTGGGTTCTGCAGTGCCTTTGTGACTGCACTGGAATCGGTTTTGGAGCAGGTCTTGGCAAATGCTGGGAGCTGCTGCTTCTGTGCTGCAGCTTGACTTTCTGCTGCTGTCGGTGGAGCTGACGCAGGTGTGCTGTTCTTCACAGAGCTGAACGTGCTGTTCTGCATGAAGTCGGTCACTGCCTTGGGTTCTTCAGCCATTGCCTGATTGTCTGGGCCCTTGGCAGTGCCTGTGTGCTTCTGCAGACCTGGTATCTCTGCCTTGCTGTCCCCCATGCTGCAAGCACCTGGCATGCTGCTGTCCTCCAGCCCCTTGGAGTTCTTGTGCGACTTCGCTGAACACAGGAGGTTGGTGATGGTGGATTTAGCAGAAAGCTGAGCGTCACAGAGAGCTCGTAACTTCATCTCCCTTTCTCTGTTTCCAATCACTGCTCTGTATATACTTTCAAGTCCCTCTGTTTCATCTAGCAACCCGTCTCTGTAGGAAAGTAGAATATGGCTTCTGTTCAGTTTGACTTAAAATTGAGCTAATCTTGACTCTTAAGCTCTGTGATGATTTTTATTTCATCAGTCAAAGAATGTTAGTTTAAGTCCGTGATTCTGGACACAGGAAAGGATTTGGGGATTGCATGCCTTTTCCTGGTGTCCCTAATAGGAGAAACCTTGTTTGCACTCAGTAGTCCAGCCTTGCATGGTTTCAACCTTCAAGGCTCAGTGGATCTTCAAATCTTTGCAGGATGAGGGCCTAAATTTCCTGGGACTTATCTGTCATTTATGATTTCGTTATCATTTGTAAGGATTTAACGGAGCTGGGTGTAGTAGTATTTGTAGCTCGTTAACCATCTTTCATATAGGAACCCACTGAAGTCCTCAGGGACCTGACAATGGGACTGCTGCCAGGGCTGAACAATTTTGTGTTCCTTTGAGGCACACCTAAGTGCCTGTAATGGTTACCTACTCAAAATACTGTTTTAAATTCCGGTTTGCTCTTTCATAGCCAAGTATGTTCAATAACTTAATGTATTATCAATTTACTCTTCTCAGCTTCAGGGAAAGACTGATGCTCTGTGCATGCACTATGCAGGTACATATATGGTATATAAATATCACAAAAACTAGAAAACTAAATAGTAAGCGTATCTAATTATCTCTAATCATATGATCACTATAATTAGTAGGATGCTTCTTTTTCCTCTATTTAAAAAAATGAAAAGAAATATCTCTTATCAAAAACCTCAACAAGCTTATCCTGTGGATAGCAAATTGATAGGCTATTTCCATTTTTATAAAGTAAAGCCTATTTCATATAATTTTTTCACCCCATCTTTTTATTGGAACCGCTCATGTGTGCGTGGCTCTTCACCCCACAGCCCAGGTGTCCCCAGGTGTTTGGTTTTCTCATTTATATGGTGGTGCAGTATGAGAGGTGGGAAAACTTCAGCTGTTCCTTCACTGGGGACGCAGAGACAAGCTTACATCTTGGCTCCATATGGAGGTTTTTTTTTTCCATAATCTGTTTTTTTTTTTTTTTTTTTTTTCTCTCGAGGGGAAAAAATCAGCAACATCTTTATGTGATTTAAGAATGATTTTGGTTTGCTAGTGAAATGCTTACGTATCTGAGGAGGCTTGGAGATGAGTGGGAATTTAGCTGTTCAATTGAAATAAAGAATCACAGTGATAAGTTACTGATGTTTCCTTGGAAAAGCCAATGGAAGGGAAGCAAATTCAGTGGTGCTGGGTTAGGTGTGCTCACTGGATTTGAAATATGGGTGGCTCAAGCTTCTGTGGGGTCAGAATGAGCTCATGGCAAAGGCCTGGTGTGCTACAGCAGCCTCACGTTGTGCAGCGAGGTCACAGATTGGCTTCACTGCGGGGACACTGAAGGTTGATTTAGCGTTTAGGAAGGTGAAACTTGTTGTTTGTTTAAAAGATTCCAGATACTTTTAAAAATGAGCATACCAGCAATTTGCATAAGTCAATATTTTAAAATAATTAAAGATTGCTAAATTGAGCAAGGTCATATGGCGTAATCTTTGGCCGCTGATGTTGCAGCTGATGAATTGGGGAACACCCTTATTGACAGCTGGCATATAGAAAGATTAAGAAAAATCTTACAATAAGGCTTTCAGGAGTAATAGAGGTGCCTAGGGTATGCAAGGTAGGGTATCACGAAACCACAGCATGGCTGAGGTTGGAAGGGACCCCTTGAGATCCTCTGGCCCATGACCCCTGCTAAGCAGGGTCACCCAGGATGGCATCCAGGCGGGTCTTGACTTACTTGGTTTCAACCTTCAAGCATTTATTTTAGTTTCTTTAGGAATTTGTTAAGAATATGGAAGAGAAAAAAGGAGCCAGGATTCAAAGGTCAGGTTCCTAGGTTTCTCTCTGACATAGTGTAGGCACTGCCCCTGCTGTGCCTCCGTGTCTTCATCTGAAATCATCTGCTCCCTCGATTTGTAAAGTTAGCTTTTAAAAGCTGCAATAAGTGTTTCCACTGCATCAGGTAGGATGGGCCAGGTTTGTATTACGTTTTGTTTAGGTTTTAAGGACACGTGGACATGTGCTAGTACTTGCTGATTGATAGCTGGATTTGTAAATTTTACTTTTTTCTGCTTCAGGAGCATACAGTAAATATTATCCTATTAATCTGAAGAGCATATTTCCCTCCCTTATCATCATTTGTCCTGTGGAACATGATTTGGCATAATTTTTTCTGTGCTAAATTCAGCTTTTCTTTGTAAAGATCAGCTGTTTACAGTAGCTTCCTTATAACACTTTAATTTTCGATTTTGCTCTTTTGAATGCTGCTTTCACTTTCTGTAAATATTTTGATGTGTGTGTAGTTGTTTTTCTTTAAATGTTGTGGGGAAGCGAATGCAGCAGCTGCTTATGGTGCTTCAGATTCTGAAGTAGTTAGATTTCATGGGGCACACTTTTCCAAAGAAAATGGGTTTTAGTGGAAAAAGTGGGAATGCTTTGCCAAACTGGGAAGCTGTCAGAAAGCAACGCAGGCACCCCGTGTCCCAAATCTGCACTTCCACAGGTTAATTAAGCCCTGTTGAGGAAATCCTAGCAGCCCTGGGGTCACTCACTTGTGCTGGGAGTTGCTGTTGTCTCTTCGAAGGGTCTCCGACGGCTCCGACCAGAGCACGGGCTGCAGCTCTTCCGAGAGGCCTTGGACGCGTTTCCAGATCTTGTGGCAGGCCTTGTCCAGGCTGTCCTGGGGGGTGTTGTCGTGGATCCAGATGTGCCTGGGGAAAGGGCCCAGCGGGAACGGCTCCTCCGATTTGACTGGTGGAGCTGGAAACCCACCGGTGAGCATCTTTTCAGCCTCTCTGCATTCAGACAGGCTTTGTGAAGGGGATGTGTGTGCAGGTAGCAAACGGAACGAGGAGCCGTGGCAACCACGGAACTGCAGGGCAGGGAGGATAACTGCAGGCATCCCCGGGGCTTCCAGCAGTGGGGATGGAAAGGGCATTGGGTACCCTTCATACAGATTAGAGCTCCCTGGCATAAACCTATGTAATTAGGCTCCAGTCTTCCTGGGTTTGGTATTTAACTGTCCTTCCCTCTTCTCCCAAAGCTCTGCTTTGATCTTCCCAAGGAGAGCACTGAGCACCGTCTCTGGTCCTGTTCTGTTCTCTTGCCATCAGTCCCCTCCTTGTCTGTCCCTGTTTGAGGCCCAGCTAGGAACACATTTAATTCCTGCTCAAGTACTTTGTCCCCTGAAATTCTCTGCAGCACGCTGTAGATTCCCCCATCCACAAGAAGTCACGTGCAAGTCTACTCTTACAAGGGAAGAGCAGGAAGGACTAATTATGGCTCATCTCTTTCAATAGCTGAATGGTTTTTGTACAAATAAATAAATAAATAAGGGGAATATCTCTAGATGCCTTGTGAAACCTTCCACTGCCGTGCAAAAAAGACTCCTCCTCAGTTTTGGAGCCTGCATATTCTTAAGCAATTAGGGCTACAGAAACTTGAGTTCCTTTTCTTTTCAATATCCTCTGTGGCATTTTGTGTGCTGGCTAGGTGCTGGGCTATAAAATTGATCTAGGTATGAAAATAAAAGGCAAAGTATTTTTAAATCTGAAAGACATGCCTTCAGATACAACAACTGCATGGTGAGTTCTTTGTTACCAAAGTCATTACATTGTACACCAAGGTCTTGGCTCTGTAGTTATCTCTGTTGAGGTAATCCTGAACTGGACTTGTCAAGTAATTTAAGTAGTGACTGCAACTTCTTGCTAATAGAGATATTCACAGCTGTCAGCTCATGGTTATGCCCACATGAATGCTGCTTTCCTCCCAGTAGTGGTAATGCAGCTAAGAGCTGAGTAAATGTGTGGTGTTCAGTGAGATGCTTGTATTCCCATATGAAATTATTAATAGTGGTGTTTTTAATTTGATCATGCTCCTAGCGTGAATGCCTTCTGTGGTTCCTCATTTCACCACCATAGTGGTGGCATTTGTGAGCCAGCTCTGTGCGTCCCCTGGAGCTTGATGCACATAGGAGAGAGAAGAAGGAGAAGGAGGAGCCCTAGGGATGTGGCTTGGTGTTAAAAGTAGTGGGAGAAGTTGGCTGTGACACTCGTTCTGTTTAGCAAGTCCTTGCCCTTAGCAAGGTCTCAGCTTCTCCTCTAAGAAGCTGCTGTGAGGACCCAGCTCGTAGCTGTGAATTGCTCTCAGCTCCGTGGATTAACCAGGAATCAGGGTGTTGCAGTCACTCTTAGTTGATTCAGAGGAATCACAAAACAGTTCATACTGTTTTGGCAGGGAGGGTGAGGCACACTGGGCTAAGTAAAATTGGAAAAAGTTGGCTAAATATCTGCAAAGACCGAAAGGCAGCGAAGTCTGAAGGCAGGAGGCTCATTTGAGCCCTGGCTCTGACTGTGGGTGGCAGTGCAGAGCAGAATTTCCCAGCTTCTGGTGGGTGCCTCCACCGAAGGCAAGATTCCTCTTTTAGTAGAGGTAATTTTGCAAGGTGAGAAGTGCAGCGAGGGGTGCAGATTACAGCGGGGCTGTTAACCAGGACCTGCAAACGTCTCCTTGTCAAAACTGAGTTGTGATCGAAGGTGGTGGCTGCAGTGATGGTTTCTGCTGTATTCATCAGTGTTGCCCATTTAACAAATAAATGCTTTTTTTTTTTTTTTTTTTCTTCTCTTTTTCTTTGAGAGATTAAGAACCTAAACCTCGTGGTTTTGAGCAGAAAGCTTCCTTGGGAGGAAATCCTTGATTTGAAATAGGTATGGTTTTATTTACCAGGAAGAAAGTGGCATTGTATCTCCTCAATGACTTTATTATGCCTGTGGATTGTTCTTGGTGCAGGGCTAGCTGACTTTGGCTCAGCTGATGCTCTGCTGGTGTGCAGCAACCAAGTCACATCTTCGGCTGAATGCAGTTTCGGGATGGGGAACTCTTTGAGGTGAATGGCTGTATAAGGGAAAAGCAATGTATAGAGCTGTCAAGTGTGGTACCCTGTTTCTCTGCTCCTTTTATATTTGGATCTATGCCTTTGAACAATAAGGTCTATTTGAATAGGACGCTGCAGTTTAAACAGACATAAAGCAACTCTTTCATGTAACAGCCCTGGTTGCCTTGGCTCTTGGCATTGGCTCACAGTGTAGGCAGTGGAAGGATTCAAATGCAGAGGGGACACAGGGGAAAGTGAGTGAGAAAGAGGATTGATTTGAGGGCGGAGGGACAGATTTTCAAGCCCTCGATATAATTTGTTTTTAGCTGTCAAATAAGCTCATTCAAGGCAACCGGAACAAGGCTGGAGAAGGGGGGTTTGCAGCAAGAAACTGCAGCAAATGCAAAGCGCCAAGGCAGGGGGATGGGTGGCGGGGCCGGGCCCCCCCCAGGAGCCAGGGGCTGGGGTTGGGGGGGGCTTTGGGGCGGCAGGGGAAGGGCTGCGGGGGCCGGGGGGTGGCAGGCAGCAGGATGGGTGCTGCCCCCCGCCCGGAGCTGAACGCCGAAGTATGTTCTTGCTGAGGAGGGGGGGGGATTTTCCAGGGTTCTGCTGTTTTTAAAGCTTGAGCATCACGCGTGAGCCGGAGTTATTTCCCTTCTCCGTGGCTCTGAGCATCGCCGCCGAGATAATTAAGTTCCTGGATGTGTCTTTAAGGGGCTGCATTTTTTCCCCATCTTGCGTGCAGCCATAGGGACAAATGTACTAACAGACATTTAAAAAAAAAAAAAAAAAGGAAAAAAAGAGGGGGTTAGAGGAGAAATACCACTTGGAGCAGCCCTGCAGAGGGGCCGCAGCACCACAGCCAGGGTGCCTGGTGGCCCAGGAAAGGGGGCACCCCCAGGACACCACCAGCCCCAAAGGGTCCCCCTGGGACTGGGGCTCACCCCATGCTGCTAGGGCAGGTCGCAGACGGGGGGTGTTTCTTCCGTGACTCATGTTTGTAAGGCAATTTGCTTCGTCCCCCAAATTGTGTCAATATCATCAAGTTGTTTACAGAGGCTCGGGTGGGGGGGCCCCAGGAGGAGGCTGCATTGCTCTGGCAGATGTCTTAATAGCAGAGCTGCTGCCTGCGCGTCCATGCGCGTGCTGTGCTCCCCGGCAAACGGGGGGCCCTGGGACTCGCCGCGATGAAAGAAACCTGTGGTGTGCATTTAAAAACAATAAATGCAATGCTAAAGCATAATTTGTGGTTTGGTGGGGCGGGGGCTGGTGGGAGGTGTGTGCTGGGTCCAGGAAGCGAAGGCGAGCCAGAGCCAGGCTGTGGCTGCACGGCAGCCCCTCGGCGCAACACCCGCGCCCCCTCCCCAGGATTTAGGGAAAGAGGAGAACAAAGATGTGGGAGCGATTAATCAACTGGCTAATAAAAAAGTATAAATCCCTGGGGACTGTGTGCTGCTAATGCCGGGGAGCTGGCTCAGAGACAGCCACCGGGAGGGACGAGCCAGCCCTCCTCTCCTCGCCTCTCCTCTCCCCGAGCCGCTGCCACACTTGGTTCATTCCAGCTGCAGAAGCTCAGAGCCTTCCATGCGGTGGGATTTTTTTTCTGGGCTGAAAAAATTAGAATAAAAAAAAATCACAAGCCTGACCTGCTTTTTTTTCCCCCCTCTTTCCTTTCTCCTCTTCTTCTAGCCGAGCTGAGGACTATCCCAATCGCAAAGGGGGAGAAAAAAGGGGGAAAACCCAACAACAACAAGCAACCCCCAGCACACCCCATTCCTGCCACCCTTTGACATGCAACCTGCCTTGGGATGGGACAAGCTGGGATGCAGCTGCAGCCTTGGAAGGAATTGGGGGAAATTGGGGATCTTTGCTCTCATGACGGTGGAAGTGAGCTCCTGGAGCCGGGTGCTGCTGCTCTCCGTGGGGCTGCTGGCTGTCTCAGCGACCGGTAAGTGTCATGGAGAAAGCTGGCAACTTTGGGAGTATTTGCCTTCCTGCTGCTTAGATCCAGGGACCACTGATAATCCGCTTTCCTGGGGACTCTGGGGTGTGTGTGTGTGTGTACTTGTATGTCAGCACATGCTTCCCTGTAGTGTTCAATAAGGAGTGGATTTTCCTCAGACCTTTCTGCGAGATAGTTTGCCTCAGTCCTTTGGGAGCAACAATTTTAAATGATACGGTTATAATAGGTGGCTCTATTTGTTTTTATTTTCCTTCTGGTGGCTCAAATAATGTGTGCTCACTTGCCAGGCAATGTGCAAGATGACTGAAAAATGCCATCACGGTTCCCCCTCTGTCTTTCCCTTGCATCTTAATTCATTATTTCACTACCCTGCTATTTGGCTGTAGCTGATATAATAGGTTTAGGACTCCTTGCACGAAGATGGAAGCACTCTCCTCTTATTCTTCCTGCATTTCAAGTTGATGTGCTCTTATAGATGAGCTCCTCAGTCTCAGCATCTTGATTTTTGTGAAAATGTTTATTGACTTGGAAGACAGAGACTTGAATTTGGAGGAGGGGGCGGGGGGGAATTTGCTTATGTCTCCTCCCTGGTTTCTGCAATTGACCTTGTAGCAAAAGCATATCTAAGGACTGAAGTTTATTTCTGGTGTAAACAGCAAATATTTAGGGACTGTCCTTATATGAGCGAGTGTGGGAGGGGGAAGAGTGGGAGAGCTGAGTGTTTGGCAGTGTCTTCTTTCAACGCTGCTATGCCCCGATTTCCAAGAGTTTGAGTAACGTCTGTCTTATCTGCTGCATCCTAGGCTAGAGGAATGTATGCTTGTGTGTGTTCATGTGTAGGAAAGCTGCTAGTTTTTTTTGGAAAATCTTGTGTTACCTCGACACTGATTTTTATTATGTAAGGCAGACTTTCTCCGAAGAGATCCAGAATAATTAACTGCTCCTC